TTTGAGCAGCCAAACCCAACGGGCTCTGGTCCCCCTGGCCCCTGGTCCTGCCTGAGGCGTGGAGTGAGTCCCCAGTTATCCCAGTCCCCTCCCCAGTTCAGCCCAGCACATCCCAAAGGCTCTTACAGGAATATTTATCCTTTACTTCCCTTTGTGATAACTTAATCTCCATCCTGCCATGAGCCATTCCTTGATTCCTTCTGGAGCAAACCCCATGGCAGAGGCACTTTGCAAAGGAGCCCAGAGCTGTGTTTGGAGCAGGGAGAGCTGAGAGCTGCATCTGCCTGTGCTGCCCCAGCCTGGCAGCATCCACATGGAACAGCCTGGGCAGATGGGATCTGGTGGAGCAAAATCCCTTCATGGAAGAGATTTTCTCCTGTGCAAATCAGGCATGGGGCAGGCAGTGAACTTTGGAAATCAGCTGATTTCCCCCAGGAAGCATCACTCACATCAGCATGAACGACGTGATCTGTACCCACTGCTCAGGATTCACCCAGCCAAAATCAAGAGTAAAGGTTGGTTTGGGTTTGAGAACTTAAAATAACTTTGAAAGAGAAAAAATCACCCTTTTCTTCTTCCTTTCTTTCAGATGCTGGAATTGCCTCTGTGGATGTGAGCTGCAGAGAACTGCCAGGCCTCAGTGGCTGTGAGTTCGTGTTCTCACTGGGAAACTGGAAATAATTATTAATTAATTAATTAATTGCAGAAATGTTTTCTGAAACCTTTCCCCTTTGCTGGTAGATCTTCTCTTTCTGCCTTTGAATTTACAGCTGTTCCCTGCTGTCATTTGTCCTGCCTGAACTCCTCACAGCTCCTAACCAGGAAAACCTGGGATAACTTAAGAGGGGACAGAGGTGACATTTTTAGCTGAAAACCTGGAGTAATTGAGAGGAGTCACAAGAACTGTTTGTAGGAAGATATGAGGAGATGTCCAGGGGAGCGAGGTGGCATTTTTGAGGGGAAAGCTGAGGTGATGTTTAGGGGGGAGAGTGCCCATTTTTGGGGAAGAAAAGAGATAATCAGTATTGTACAGGAAGGAGAATTTTGGGGGTACAACTCAATATAATCTGTAGGGATTAAAACAGAATGAAAATTAATAGAATGAATATTTTGGAGTAAAAATGAGGTACTCAGTAGTAGACAAGTTAGGAAAATTTTGGAGACAAAACCTGAGAAAATCTCAAAAGCAGAGAATGAACAATGAGGGAAAGATGGGGTGATGAGTACAGAGCATGTAGGGAAAATTTGGGGGCTAAATCAGAGCTGATCTCTAGAGGAGAGCATGAACATATTGAGGTAACATGAGGGAATCAGTCATGGGCAGATGGGAAAATTTTGGGGGGCAAAAAGAATATGAAATAATCTGTAGGGAGGAGATTTTGATGTAAAAAATGAGGTCATCAGTAGTAGACATATGGAAAAATTTGTGGGGCAAATCTTGAGAGAAGCTACATGGTAAAAAATAAATATATTGAAGGGAAAATGAGGGAATCAGTAGTGGACAGGTAGGGGAATTTTAGGGGGAAAACCAAAATAATCTAAAGGTTAAGAATGAATATTTTAAGGTAAAATGAAATAATGAACTGGGGACAGGTAAGGAAAATTTTGGGGTAAAACTGGAGTAAATCTCTAGGGAAAAGTGAACACTGACATAAACTGAGGACATCACTGGGGGTAGACAAAGAAATTTTTGGGGTAAAACTTGGAAAGATCTTGTAGGGCTGAGAATTAACATATTGAGGTAGAAATGAGGTGATCAGGAGTGGACCAGCTAGGGAGAATTTGGGGGGAGAACCCTGAGCTAATATGTAAGAAGGTGATGTGTTTTTGAGAAAAACTGATGTGATATGTAGGAGAGAGAATTTGGGGATAAAACAGACATAACTTGTGTGGTTTTGGTTTTAAAATCTAGTTAGTATACAGGGGACAAACCAGACATTTTGGTAGTAAAATCTGAGTTAATCTGTGGGTGAAAGAATGAATATTGTGAGTTTAAAAGGAGGTAATCAGTATTGGGCAGGTAAGGAAAATTGAGGAGGTAAAATGTGAGATTATCTCTTGGAAAGAGCAGGAACATCCTGAGGTAAAATTGCTGCGGGCAGGTGGGTAAATTTGGGAGGTAAGACTTGAGGGAATATTTGGAGGTAAAAATGAGGTACTCAGTGGTGGAGAGGTAGGGAAAATTTCAGGGGTAAAACTTGAGGTGATCTGTAGCAGAGAGAATGCAGTTCATGGGGTAAACTGAGATAATCAGTTATAGACAGGTAGGGAAATTATTGGGGGGTGAAAATTGAAAGCATCCATCAGGTAAGGAGTGAAAATACTGAGGTGAAAATGAGGAAATAGGTAGTGGAAAGGTAGGGAAAATTTTGGGCATAAAGGTTGTGGTACTTGCCAGAGTAAAGAAAGAGTGCTTTATTGTAAAAAAATGAGGGAAACAGAAGGGGACAGACAGGGAATTCTGGGGAGGGAATGTGAAATAATCCCCAGGGAAGAGAATGAACATCATGAGGTAAACTGAGGTAATCCCTTGTGGACAGGTAATGAAAATTTTGGGCACAGAAATTGCTATTTTCTCCAGGATGGAGAATTAGTGTTTTGAGGTAAAAAAATGAGGTAACGAGTAGTGAACAGGTAGGGAAGACCTTGAGGGATAAAACTTGGAATAATTTTAGAAGTGTTTTGGAGAAGATATCTGATATAATTTGTAGGGGACAAAATGAACATTAAGTGGATGAGACAGACAAAACCTGTGTGGTTCTCACTTTTAAAAATAGGTAATACATAGATGACAAAAAGCTGGTTGCTGGGATTGGTAATTCCATACATTTGGCTGCTGAAATTTCCCAGCCCAGGGGCTTTGGTTGACAGGGCAGCACAAAGATTGTTCTGTGTAGTGCCCAGATTTGGGGTTCAGCTTTGCTAGTTAAGATGAATTACAGCTATAGCCCTGAATTCCCTGCTGAACTCTTGCTGGAATAACCTTACAGTGCCTCGTGCAGCATGGATATTCCCATGCAGAGCTGCCTGTTTAACACCAGCTGGGCCAGGAACCAGCAGAAATTCCAAGGAAGCTCAGTGGAATGGAGACAGGGACAGGTTTATATTCCATAGAATTTGCTATTTCTAATCCTCATCCCCCAGCCCAATGTCTCTGGGGGGCACCTGACAGAGTTTCCTGGAATTCAGCAGATTCCACCCCCCTGAGCACGGGCTCCAGTTGATGATTTAAAGCAGGAGGTGGTGGCCAGACGCGCTCCCGGCCCGTGCTGAGGCAGCCCCTGTGCCCACAGGAGAACATCTCTCCCTGCAGAAGCTGAGTTCATTCCAGAGTCTCGGGAGTGGCCTCTGGAAGTCCTTTTCCCTGAGGAAAGCGATGCAGATCCCTGCCTTCAAGGCACCTGCAGTGCAGCCCACCTGTGAAAGCTTTCTATTGGTTCTGCAGTTCCAGCTGGCTCCCTGAAAATTCCCAAACGTAATCCAAACAAATTTGTCTGACTGTAACCTGTTATTTTAGGGCATCTCCGAGGGCATTGCTTGGGATTTAATTTCTGTGAGGGAAATTCCCTTGGCTGTAACACTGCTGATGGAGGATGTCCCCAAGCTGGAAGGGAAGGGATTGGGGGTGGCTGGGACAGACCTGGTGGGTGTGGGCCCTCCCTACTCCCCCCTGGCCTCCCTCCTGAGGAGGAGGCCCTCCCTGACCCCCAGCCTGGTACCCACAACACCAGAGGAATCTTTTTGGAACTTTTTATTCAGTGTAGGCAGATAATTCCCATAGAGAAACCCCAAAAATAAACGATATGGGGTCGGGAAAGGCAGTGTTCTGCTTTAAATTAAAATGAATTGGGGAAAAATAAATCTGTGGAACAGCTCACTCACCCTACTGGACCAGGTTCTGTGTGATCAGCTGTGATTCCTGCTGTTCACATGGGATTTGCAGCCTGTAAGACTCCAATGAAATGCCAGGTTCTGAGCACAAGAGAACATAATGGCAAATCTCTCTGGATCAGGCAGTGTACCAAGGGTCTGGCAGTGCCCAGCTTTCCTGGCTGTAATTTGGGGGGGTCCCAGCACAGCCCCCCCCAGCACATCCTGCTGCTTCCTTGAGTCTCCTTTAACCAGGATCCTTTTTTGGGGTGGGGGCACCCAAACCCAGCAGAACTGGCTTTAATCAGTTTTGGGGGAATCTCCCCTCTCCCCTCCTCACCCAATTCCAGCTGCCAAAACCCAGCCTGAGGCTCAGCTCCCCATCCCGTCAATCTCTCCAAGGAACTGCACTTGAATTTCCCAATCCAGCAGGGTAGGAGTGCTGTTCTCCTCACTTTGTATCTTAATTGCAGTAACTGCTTAAGAAATAATTAAAATAAATTAAAAGACCAAAGAGACAATAAAGAAGAATTGCCAGCTCCAACCAAGGGGTGCTCAAGCAGCTTCTCAATGATTTGCTTTAATTAACCAATGTAAATGAACCAATTAAGATCACATCAACCCATTATTCTTTTTAATCGAGTTCTAGAGAAAAACTGCAGAATAGAAAAGAACCTTTTTAACCCCCAAAGCTCTTCTAGGAGACCCACAGGGCAGGGCTGCACTGCACCCCCAAACAGAGAATTGGGAGAAAAAACAAACCCAGACTGAGATTCCTGGGAGATTGGTGCAGCTTCTGCCAGCCAGAACACACACACCTGTAAATCCCAGGAACCTGGGACATCATCAATATCCACAGGGGACTTTTTACTAAAAGCAGATTTCCACAGAGAACTAATGAAATACAGAAAATTAAATGGAAATGTAAAGGAACAGCTCCCTCGAGCCAGGAGGTTGCAGCATCCAAAGAAAATGAATAGAAAGGTTATGGATTGGGACCACCACCAATCCCAAATTCCTCATGTAGAATACCACTCTTTTTTGGTTTATAAATCACTTTTTAGTGGACAAACCCTTCAGTTTTGCTTCCAATTCACCAAGTTCCCAGGGATCCAGGGAAACACACAGGGTATGGTCCTCTGGGAATGTTGCTGAGGAAGCACAGGGACCTCAGCTGTGCCTGCAGCCCAGAGGGAGATCTCTTCCCAACAGCTCCGGCTGTGCTCGGTGTGTCCCGATGGTTCCCACACTGACACACCACAGCTTCCTCTGCCCGCTGCCTTGGGAAGTATCCCTAAGGTGCCACCAGGAACGGAGCCTCTTACAGACACAGTCTTGGGATCCAGGGGAAGAGAAGGAGTTTTCAGTCTTTAGCATCTCCCACTCCGTCGGCATTGATAGCAAACATGGCTTCAGCCTCGGGAAGACACGGAGAGTCATAGATTTTACAGATCCTGGTCTCACCTCGGCCTTTCCGCAGGTACAGCCTGACAGGGAGAGGGAAGGAAACAGGTCAGGATGGACAGCCTGCTCCCAGGAAATCATCCTAATCGTAGGAACTTCCTGAGATGCTCATTTCCCTGCAGACTGAGGGTCCAGAGTGGTGCTGAACTGAAGCACAGACTATGGAAACCCCGCAAGTAAAAGCTACTCGGCCAATTCCATAAAACATTCCCAACCCAGGCTCCTGGGATACGACCAACTCTTGTCTCACCTGGTGGTGGAAGCATGAGCGATGATATTGCCTCCAATGGGCTTTTTGGGATCTGCAGCAAACATGGCAGCTCCATCCACCTGTGCCACCACCTGGTTTGTGATGACGACAGCCACTCCAAACTGCAGGAGAAACAGCCCAAAGCCAATTATTTCTCACAATCGGAACAGAAAAGCAGGGAAAAGAACACAGGAGCACTCCTGGTGTCCGTAACTGTGGGATCCAGCCTCTCCAAACCAATGGGACCAGAGGTGGAGACAAAGCCCTTGGGACCAAATTGCTGGGGTTTGTAAGAAAACTGCTGAGTTTTACTTTGGCAATCATATTGGGTTTGTATGGCCAGGATTTGGTAGCAGGGGGCACAGAGATGCCTTCTGTGAGAAGCTGCTGGAAGCTTCCACCATGTCTGGCAGAGCCAATCCCAGGATGGCTCCAAAAGGGACATGCTGCTGGCCAAGGCTGGGCCAATTAGAAATGGTGGCAGTGCCTCTGTAATAACAGATGTAAGAAAAAATCAAAACAAAACTTGTGGTGCAGCTTCAATTCCAGCTGGAAAAGAGTAGGAGTGAGAATATGAGGAGAACAAGATGCAGACACCAAGGGCAGTGAAGAAGGAGGGGGAGGAGGTGCTCCAGGCACCAGAGTTGAGATTCCTCTTCAGGGCGTGGTAAGGACTGTGGTGAGGACCATGGTGATCCTCCCTGCAGCCCATGGGGATTCACAGGGGATGCAGAGATCCACTGGCAGCCCATGGAGGAGCCCTATGCTGGAACGGGTGGATGCCTGGAGGAGGATCCAGAGGGAGATCCAGTGGAGAGAGGGGCCCTGTGTCCAGTCTGGAGCAGCCTGTCCTTGAAGGACTGACCCCGTGGAAGAGTGACCCACACTGCAGCAGCTCGAGGGGCACTGTTGCCTGTGGGATGGACTCAGATTGCAGCAGTTCACAGGGAGCTGCTGCTTGTGAGACAGAGCCACATTGGAGAAGTTTGTGGAGAACTGTCTCCTATGGGAGGGACCCCGTGGTGCAGCAGGGGAAGGACTCTTCTCCCTCAGCAGTGGGAGAAGCCTTCGGTGGATGAACTGACCAAACCCCCCCATTCCCATCTCACTGTGCCACTGGCACAGGAGGTAGAGCTGAGAAAGAGGGAGAAGTGGGGGCAAAATGTTTTTAAGAGCTTATTTGACTTCTCATTATCCTGCTCTGAGTTTGTTAGTAATGAAGTCACTTCAAATCTCTAAGCTGAGCCTGTTTTTCCCTTGATGGTAATTGGTGAGTGTTGTCTCCCCATCCTTACCTCAACTCAACTCACAACTCTCCATTACATTTTCTCTCTTCTGTCCAATTGCAGAGGAGGGTGAGTGAGTGGCATTCATGGGTGCCTGATGTTTGGCCAGCATCAACCCACTACACAAAGCCCAGCCAATGCTCACCTCGTCCGCCAGGCGCAGCAGCATCCGCAGGAACCTGGCCAGGTGCATCTGCCTGGCGGAGAGCTCCCCCCTTCCCGAGTAATCCGTGCGGTACAGGGCTGTGGCACTGTCCACGATCAGCAGCGCGTACCTGGGAAAGGGCAGGCAGGGCTCTAAGTCTCAGTTCCAATCCCAAGCTGCCTGCACAGCTCTCCTGGGAGCTTGGAAATCATCAGTACTGTTTCTAACCACAGTTCTAAACTAAGCTTCCAAGTCGCTCCTCAGGCTGGCACTGAGGAACCATGAATTCCCTGTGTTTGTACAGCCACATCAGCTGGAGCCAGTTGCTGGCACCCAGAATTCCAGCAGCAAGAGGTGCTGCTGACACCTGATTGCCCATGGAGCCAGCTGGATCCTGGGAGAAGCCAAAAGCTAATCCAATGTGTAAACAAAATCCATTAAATCAGTGTAATTACCGTGATTCAGCCATCATGGCCGAAGCCTGGTACAGCAGCTGCGTCTGGTGGTCGGTGTTAAAGCCCCGAGCATAGGCCACGTTGTCCAGGACATCGCTGCCAGACAGGCCATACCTGCAAAATCAGGGAAAATAAAGGGATGGACCTTGAGTGACAACTTCATCCACAGCAGTTAGCCAGGAGCTTTGCCAAAAGACTGGAAGAAAAACTCACGTCCCCAGCAGAGATAAAAACAGAGGGAAAAATGCAGCCCATGGTGATGAAAAGAGAACGAAATGACCGGAACCATTTGAAGTGGATAAGAGGAAATGGCCTCAGGTGATACCAGGGAAGGTTCAGGCTGGATATTGAGAAGTCTCTTAGAGGAAAGGCTGTCCAGCCCCGGCACAGCTGCCCAGGGCAGTGGTGGAGGCCCCATCCCTGGAGGGATTTAAAGCCATGTGGATGTGGCACCTGGGGACATGGGACAGTGGTGGCCTCAGCAGCACCGGGGAGCGGTTTGGCACAGGGATCTCCCAGGGCTCCTCCAACCTGAACCATTCCATGATTCCAAGGACTCTGTACACGGCCAGCACAGACACACCTGTGCCTGCTGCAAACATCCTTTCACTTCCTCTCCTTCGCTTGGCTGCCAAATATTCCCTGGCGACAGGGAACATGGGAGCAGTCCTTGCTGCAGGAGAAGCAGGATTAGATCAAATTCTCTTCAGAAAGAGCAAACAGGATCTGTCCTGTCCCCAGCTGCTCAGGAAGCTCCCAGTAGCAAAAGAGAGGGAAATCACCTAGTGCCAAGGGACAATGACACGAGAGCTGTGGGGGGAAAGTGGCAGGGACAGGAGAGGAATGGCAACACCAGAGCTTTCCAAAGGGAACACCTGCCAAATCAACCTCTAGGACCTGTGGAAAATGTTTTCCAAATGAGTCCATCTATTCCTGTCTTCCACTCACAGACCTTTCCCACTCACAGACCTTTCAGCCACGGCCAGGAGCCGCTCTGGACGGAAGGTCCCCTCCGTGTCGATGTACATGGCTTTTCCCTCACCGCCCCCACGGTCTATGGGGAGCTGAAGGAGAAAGAAAGGAATAAAGCATCCATAAATACAGCAGATATTGGCACATGCCCTCATTAAGCTCATACAATAAATAACATTCCAAGTTATTGTGACTGCAGTCCCATTTAGCTGGGAAAAGTGAGAGGAAAGATCCCTGGTCCCCATCGCTGACACCTTCCTTTTGTAGTAGCTGTCACCCTGGAGTGCCAGGACAAGGGGGAATGGCTTCCCACTAACACAGGGCATGGATAAATGGGATATTGGGAAGAAATTCTTCCCTGGGAGAGTGCTGAGGCCCTGGCACAGGCTGCCCAGTGAAGCTGTGCCTGCCCCTGTATCCCTGGAAGTGTCCAAGGCCAGGATGGATGGGGCTTGGAGCAAGCTGGGATACTGGAAGGTGTCCCTGCCCATGGAACTGGATGAGCTTTAAGGTCCCTTCCCACCCAAACCATTCCAGTATTCCATGACTCCACACAAGACGACAGGTGCCCAGCTTTGATCTGGGAAGTTTAGGGAGTCAACTGAATGATCAAATTAAATCCAAGCCTCTATTTTAGGAAATAGCAACCTCTAGACAGTAATAACAAATAGAAAGTCAAAGAAAGTGCCCAAATTAGCAAATATCCCAAGGCTGTGGGGTCTGAATATTGGATTGTAATGAGGTGAACCCCCAACCTGACAGGTGACGGCCAACGTGTGACACAGCTGCGTCTTCCCAGTACGGAATTCCCCGAATAATTCTGTTATGGACCCTGTTTCTATTCCTCCTGAAGGGAAAACAACAATAATAATTATTAATAAAACTTAAAAGGTCACACGCTGCGTGTATGATCTATGTATCTATGGATCTATCTCGCATATAAAACATTACATTTACAGAGACTCAGTTAAACACTGAATTTGGCTGAAAGTTGCAAAACTAAGAGGGAAAACTGCTTGTCATCATAAGGTTTGCTCATGCTGTGGTTAGGAAGTTTGTGGGTATTTTTGAAGATGCTGTAGAGTTGAAATTACTTGTTTTCATTTTTGAATTACCAGAGGAATGGGGAGATGATGATACCTGGTTTTGTTTTCCCTAAATGAATCATGGACTTAAATAAACCAGAAACATCCAAAAACGGACCACTCTGGGTCTTGCACCATGACTGAAAGGACTAAAAGGTATTTCTGCAGCTTCTAAAATAAAAGCAATTATTCAAGAGCAGTCCTAGAGGTTCATCCAACCAGGACTTGCCTTACCTGGTTCTGTGCAAGGATCCCACCATGGGAAAACCCCACCCCAATAACTGAGGTTAAGCAGGAAAGAGAAATAATAAAATGCTGACCTTGAAGCAGCTTATCCAGCTCTTTGGAGCCAGTGGTGATCTGGATGATCTCCGACCGCCGCTGGTGGAATTCTGTGGCTGTGGTGAAGCCCATGGGAACCAGTTTGGCTGCCTCAGCCTGAGGGAAAACCCAAGCAAGCAGTGCTAGGGAAGTTCATGCTATTTGTTAATCCCCCAGTAATTAATATTTCCTGCCTTGTGAAGAGGTGCCTGTATCATTCCATGCACATTTCACAGACCTTGCACTAGTTGGTGCCTCTGAAAAGAACTGAAATTCTGCTCCGAGAAAAAGCTCCAACATCCCTTTTTTTGTGTTTTATGGAAATATCCTCCCCTTGTCCCCCACCTGCTCAGTTCAGTCCTGTTCTGGTTGTTTTGTCTTTTCTCATCACAAGTCATGTCACACCTCTAATCACCCTTACTGCCCTTTGGAAACCTTCCAAATTCACCACAATGCTTTCAGCCAGCAGAAATCAACCTGTGGAATATCTCAGGTTAAAGTTCCAGAACATCCTTACCAAGATTTTGTCGGCTTTGGCTTCGCTGATGCCTTTAATGTTCAGCAGCTCCTTCTTCGGTGCATAAGCCACAGCCTCCACTGTGTGAAATCCAGCTTCTTCCAGCTTCTTCACATCATTGGCATTTATGCCACATTGCTGGGAGGGAGGAAAAATGTCACATGTTGGTATTTTTGGGTATTTCTTGGTTTTTTGTTTGTTTGGTTTTTTTTTTTACCAGAACACGAGTAAGAATTTAGCAACAGCGTTTTCAGTTTCACCTTGCTTTAAAATAAAAAGGTGTCGGTTGGATATTAATAAAGAATTCTTCCCTGTGGAGGTGGTGAAGCCCTGGTGGAGAGCCTGGAAATGCTCAAGTCCAGGATGGATGGGGTTTGGAGCAAGCTGGGATAGTGAAAGGTGTCCCTGCCCATGGCAGGGGATGGAATGGGATGAGCTTTTAAGATTCCTTCCAAACCAAACCATCAAAGGATTCCATTTTAGGAAAAAGAGCAGCAAGTCTATCTATGGAAAACTTCCTCGAGAGGTAATGCCTTACCTACCTCCAACCTGGATATGAGCTGTGGCCCAAAGCTTTCCTCCTCTGCTGATGTGTCTGCGCTGGCCTCGAGCTGCATCTGCATGGCCATGGCAGCGAGGGACCAGGATACCCCTGGAAGGAACCGAACATTTCAGCGTTCCCTTTCAGCAATATGTTATGTGGTCACATGAATCAGAATCATGGGGTTATTAAAGCTGGAAAAGCCCTCTGAACTGGCCCCTGATTCTGGGGTTGGGCTGTGCCCCAGACCATGCCCTCAGGACTGCCACAAACACCTTGGAAAAGGTTGGAAGACCCTGCAGAGGACCTGCACCACCCCTGGGACTGCTGAACAGGATGGCAAGCAGGAGCTGTCATGGATAGGATACTGATAGATACAAGGGAATTCACACACTTTGGATATAAGATACAATTTGAATATTATAATGACAGGACAAGGGGGAATGGATTCAAACTGACAGAGGGGAAATATACATTGAATACTGGGAAGAAATTCTTTCCTATGAGGGTGCTGAGGCTTTGGCACAGAGAAGATGGGTCCCCGGATCCTTCTGAGATCCCTGGAGATGACCAAGGCCAGGCTGGACGGGGCTTGGAGCAAGCTGGCATAGTGAAAGGTTTCTCTGTCCATGGCAGAGGGTGGGACTTAATAGCCAATCCAGCATTCCACGATCCCAAATTTAACGGGGGCCCGGCCAGCAGCACCTCCCAAGTACGATCTGGAACTCCTCGGATTCCCCATGCCGTGTGCCCCCCCATTTTTGCTCAACTCCAGCCCTTTCTTTAACGCCCCTCACGGCTCCCCCACAGGTGACGGCCTTCCCACCCCTCCCCCGCCCTTCAGACTCCCGCGGCCGCTCCCCGCACCGGGGAGACGACGGGGGAGCACCAAGAGGATTGGGGGGGGGGTGTCCTGTGTCCCCCGGTCCGTCCAGCCCGCCTCAGCCCATGCCCGTCCCTGTTCCTGTCCCTTGTCCCCGTGTCCNGGCGCCTTAAAGGGGAGCGCGGGAAGCGGCACTGGGTGTGGAACGGGGACATGGAATGGGGACACGGAACGGGGGCATGGAACGGGAACGGGGACACGGAACGGGGGCATGGAACGGGAACGGGGACACGGAACGGGAACGGGGACACGGACCGTAGCCCCGGGGCACTGCGGCCTTCCTTTCTGACTCCCTTTCCTTCCTCTCTCCTTCTTGTCTTACTTTTGTTTTCTTTTCCCATTTTTCTTACCCTCCCGCCCTTCTTTTTATTTTCCTCCTCTCTCCCCTTTTTTTTTTCCCCCTTTTCTCTTTTCCCTCCTTTCCTCTTCCCACCCTCGCTTTTTCTTCTTCCCCGCTCTTTCCCTTTTGCCTCTCTCTCCTTTCCATTATTTTTCTTCGCTTATTTAATCTTTTTTTCCTTTTCCCTCTTGAAGCGCAGCCCTGTGCCCCCATAAATCCGTCAGCCCATGCAATTCCTGAGCAGTAACAATTCCTCAGCCAGAACCCAAGCACGAGTAGCTGGAGATCAGGACACATCTAGAGCAGAAGTTGGAATTCCTCACTGGAATTGCATCCCTTGAATTTGATGGAATCCCTTTACCTTGAGGCCTTGCTGTACACAGACTGGAGCAGCTGATTCTTTGCACATGGAAGTGAAGTTTTCCATGATTTTTTTAAAGCTGGATAATGGAATAATTTCTGCCCAAGCTCCTTTTTTCACTACTACAAATGTGTGGCTTCACCTGCTACTTTGATTCAATATTCAGAGCAATATAGTAAACTCCACCAAAAACTCACTTGAGTCTTTACAGTGATTGACGCTTTAGTGTGCAAATCCACTGAAAGAAAAGAAAACCAGCTTAAAAAGAGGTGATAATGCTCCTGGAAAACTGCCACAGCACTCTCTGCTAGTTAGTGATGCACAGGAGAATGGCCTGGGGAAATTCAAAATTCCAGCTATAGTATCTAAATTGAGAATGATTTGGGTGCTATCTTCCTAATTAAAATACAATAAATTCTTGTGAAAAGCCAGGATATAGAATACTAGCATTAGCAAAGGCAAGGAAAAAAAATCATATTATGAAAAGTCTTCCCAAGTATTTAACATAATTATTTCAATATTTTGAATTTAATTTAGTATTGAATTTTCAATCACCAGTTTAAATAGAGCAGCCCATATTCCCCATTTGAAACAGGAAGAGTGATAAATCCAATCTTTATTAAACTTCCACTTTTCAAACAGACGCAAACTTTGTAAAAAGATAAAATGTATAAACACTAAAATACAGGAAAACATTTTTAAATTCAACAAATTTTACAGGGTACAAAGATTTGCAGCTGCAGAACTGAGAGCTGAGCCAGGGTTGGCAACACAGTCAGGGTGAGATCAGTTCCAACAGCAAGACCCACATAATACACAAAATTATTCACAAAACCAAGCTACAGATACTCCCAGGTTTAAGGAGTTCAGTCTCCTTGCTAAAATTCCATGGCATTCCCAACTGGGACAGTGCCCCAGCACCCAGAGATAGTGCTGGACGAAGACAATGAATGTCAGAACTAACTCCAGCCAGAGAATCACAGTGATGGCTTTGAGGCCGTTGCATCCCAAAGTCTGTGAGCAAGCACAGGGAGTTTTAGCCTTAATTCCAAAAAATATTTCTGACTTTGGTGACTGGGGTTAATTGCTACAGGTTAATTGGTTAATTAATCAGATGCAGGGATATCATATCTGGCATGGGAGGGGTGCCAGGCGATGGATAAACAACGGATGTGGTGGCATCTGTTAAATTGTACGTGGTAGTGAAATAATGACAGCAAAAGTAAATTCCAGTTGTAATAATTTAGAGAACACTCATCATTGCTTTGTCCAAGAGCTCTTTAAATGACAAAATTAATGGGCTATGGCAGAAGAATATCCGTGCTTGGAATGACCATCCAGTCATTACTATCTGTGACAGGAATGACCACCAGTGACTGACAGAAGATAAAAGGCACCTTGAACGTACAAGGGATCCAGGAATTTCCTTCTTCTCCTCTTTAGACACCTCTGCTTTTGTAAAACTTGTGGCCTGCACCAAGCATTCTACTTGATCTAAGCCACAAGGATACTAAATAGGCAGGAATACTAGAGCTAAGTGGGTAACAGCATTCCCATTTCAGGGAGACACAGCGGGAGTTCTAAACTCACAGACTACTCATTTTGACTGCTTCAGTCCTGCCTGTGCATCCAGTAGATCATCTGGGACCCTGGAGCAGATCCTGATGGATCAAGGTGACTATTCTCTGCAGATAGAGGTGACCAGCTGGAACTCTGGAAAGAACAGCGGCAATTTCCTTCTCCCTGGGGAAGATAAAATCATGTGTTGGAGAGGATCCCGAGTGTTCAATCCCCCATCCCTACTTTGGAATGGGGTTGCATGCAGCAGTGCTTTGTCAGCTCACCCGATATTCCCAGTGTGGGTTTGGACCCTGAAGGGAAGTACAGCAGATGGGTAATCATGAGAGAGAGACAGAGTCAACTCAAACTTCGCAAAAGCCACAGAAGAGGAGAACAGAAGCTTCACCCTGTGGAAATGAACACAAAGATCCATGCAAAACAGTCAAATGGGCTGCTTCCACCTTGGAATTAGTGCCAGGAGTAGAAATAAGTGATGTCACTGATGCAACAAGTGCAGTAACTTCTAAAGATTTCCAGCACAGACCCACAGGAACTTCAGGAATAAGATAAAAAAGGCTCCTCACACTTTATCACTTCAGAATGCAACCCTCCAACTTCCCCCAGAGAAAAAGTTAATGCACACATAATTCACAGAACCATCCAGAAATTATGGGAGAATGGAGACTGAAAATATGTTCTCTAGTTAACATAAAACATTCCCAGGCAATTAAGGTTTTTTAATGCTTTAAGTAGGACTGATTTGCCTCCATTTCAATGGGCTTTTTGGCACTCTTGCAAAGGGAGCTACAAAATTAAAATAACCTCTGGAACAGTACCAAGGTGGACAGAGCAAGTTAATAATTCGACACTTCTTAATTAAAGATATGCATCAATAATGGGAGGATGAGGTGAAATTGTATTTGCTTTGTACAACTGGGACATGCCACAAAATTGGGAAGTATCAAGGGAAAATGGAAAGTAAAGAAAGTAAACTTCAGTTTCAGTGCATCCCTCCTTCCACAACTGATTCTGCTTGGCTGAGGCAAACATAAGACTAAAGGAAACAAAGCCCTAAGCTAAAGGTAAACTCTTGGCTCTGTCTCCTTAGCATTGCTACAATTTGGCCTAAATGTTTAAGAAAGGCAAGTCAAGCAGGAAAAGAGCACGGAGGGAGAATCTCTCTGATAGTCGTAAAATCAGTGAATTCATGAACGGCCTAATTTCCATGCACTGGGACACTACAGTGCAATTGTATGAGAATAAATTAAATTGCTCTTAAAAACAGCTCCATAAAATGTCACTTTTAAGAATACCAAATCAAAACTATTTCAGTGTATTAGCTTCTGATTAGCCAAAACCTCCTTCCTAAGGCTACTGTGAATTCCATCTTATAGAATCACTGAACAGCCCAAGTCAGAAGGGACCCACACAAGGATCATCAAAGTCCAGCTCCTGGCCCTGCACAGGACACCCCAACAATCCCATCTTTATCTGAATTGACTCACTCTGTGCCTTTGATATCTGTCTCCAGGAGATGGAATTTTGCACCCCACCTCTGCAGAAATTCCAACTCCTCTCCCAAGATTTTGCAGCGACTCACCACCAAGGAGATGTCAAAGAGAGCCTGGGGGAGAAATCAGAAAAGCAACATCAGCACTCAGGGGGTGACTATGTGATGCCTGAACACACAGCTCATCCTAGAAAGTACAAAAAATAAACATGGTTTAACTGCTACCTCAGTTTGGATGGAAAAATGGAATTGTACAAGTATAACAAATGTGCATTTTTTGCTTTAAATTTCTCCTTTCAGCTTTGCCAGCAGCCACACAGGAACACAGAAGTTTGGCTTGGCAATTTAAACCTACATTCTTTAGGAGGCAAAATGGCCTTCAGCTCAATTTTTTTTCAGGCAAAACCCCCGTTTTTTAAATAAAGTTCAGCTTTTAGGACTCCTGCCTTCAGAGACAAGTATTTCCTGTCACACCTCAGAGTATTCCAGAAGCAAATTTTGATTTGCGTTTCTGAAGCTTTCATTAAGGTGCTTTGGTTCTCAGCTCAGCTCTATTTTCTCTGTTGCAGAAAATAATAATTTGATTCTTTTTCAGAGTCTTCTAAGTTTCCCTGGAACATTACCTGGGGCAAGTACAACAGTGTGGAACACTTTTCCTGCCACCTTCCCCGACTTTCAATAAACTGGAAGATGAGTTTTTGGACTAAACACGAGGAGGGTGGAGCTTGTTCCTCTGCAACACAAAAGAAAACCAGAAATCTTTGAAAAGCCATTTCATAAAGCATTAGAAAATCAAGCACATATTTAGTCTTCCCAACAACAGATTAGCAGGGCTTCTGCTTTCCCACTATTCAAAAAATCTCACCATCTAGGAAAGATTCAAAGTCCAGGCTAATGATGCTTCTGGAAGGACGTGCAGCGAAAAACTCACCATCTGAGAAAGAAAGTTAAAATACCCCAGTTATTTCCATGCTTACTTCTGGAGTTACAGCTCTTCATCTTCAGAAACAGATGCATTACATAAATTTCTGAATTTTCATATGAAAAACATATTCAGCTTACACACTGTAGCATATTTTCTATTTCCTATTTATTTTCAGCAGATCTTTACAAATACAGGTATTTCAGGTTTCTACTCTCTAACACTGCAAATTCATAAAACACAAACCTACCTATTTTGTGACTCACCTATTGAGGGTCCAAACACAACTGTGAGCATCACAGAATCATAAAGAAAACTAAAGACAGCTTGCTGCTCACTCCATTCCATTAACTCCCACTCAGTGAAGCTGAAAAGGGGGAAAAAAACCCACTGTCACTCCAAGTTTCAACCAAGCAACCCAAACAACTTTCTGACGGACAAACATCAAAGTATTAAATGCACTTGCAGCTCCTACCACATCATACAGCAATGAAATTTTCCAAAGCCAAACAGAGTCTTTCATTCCAACAGAATATAAGAATCTGTTGGGAATGCAAGCATATTACCATAAATTTTGTATAAATGTCAATTTAGTGATTGAAGGAGAGTTGGATATAGAAAACCTGATCACAGAGTACCACTGCAAAACTGCTAATGGGATAACTGCCTCACACATGGAAGTTCTCCAAGGCTTTATTGCCTACCTTAGGCTGCAAGGAGATGGGTATTCCAAGATTTCCCACATCAAATAACAAGGAAAACCAAAACCAAACACATTCATGTACAAATATGAGGCCCCAGAAACAGCTATTAAAAAATAAAACCTGGGGGGTGTTTTCCTTACTCATATTTCTTCAGGATTTCTAGGCAGACCCTTTCAGTATTCTTGAGCTTCTCCATCTCAGCCAAATCAAGCTCATCCTCAGCATCCATCTCTGATAGTTCTCTGCAAGGATAAACCAATCTCATGAGATGCAGTACAGTGGTTACAAACAGATCAAGCCTCTAAAATCTGAGTGTGCACCTGATTCCTAAATCCTCTTTTGACATCTTACCTCAGAAGTTCCTCTTCTTGGGCTGTGATGCTTTTCAATTCTAAAGCAAAGAGAAAAAAGGAAAGAAAAGAAAAAAAACAACCATGAGAGAAAAGAGCAGCACAGGAAGTCCTAATTTGTTGTGGACTCACTGTTCTTATGGAGTTAAAGGTTATAATTATTGGACAATAAAGTGCTGAATATGACAACCAGCACATACTCTTCAGGTAGCAAGTTCTAAATTCCCCTTTTCCAGTGAAAAATCAGTCCTTTCCATTCTTTAACACCTTTGTAATTAGCTATGTGCAATGCAGGAAAGAGTCTGCATCCCTCTCAGAGTAAATGCATCAGGGTGGGGGTGGAGTATCGCCCTCTCCAGGTTCTAAAACACCAGACAGAAAGTACATTCAGCTGGTTCCATTACCTTTCTGTATGTTCTGCCCTCCTGCTGTTCCAGCACTGCAGCCATCTTCCTCTTCATCCCAAAAAGAATCTGTGGGAAAGCAGTGTCAGGTCTGTGCAGAACTCCTAGATTCAATATTTACTTTTGTTTGTGGGCTCTAGAAATCTCAGCACTTCAAAGTTAACTAAAACCTCAAAAAGTGACAATAACAAGCAAAACTGGTTTTATTGCACTGTTTTAGAGCTGCTACTGAGCAATCTGATTTCTACTCAAGGCATTGGAGAAAAAGAATTGAAACTACAGAGCATCATTACACAGTAATGCCAAGTTCTGACTGCAGCTTGTATCAAACAACCACAAACACAGAATCCTGAACTGACATTTTAGCTAATGAAATCTGTCATTAGAGGGAAGAGGCAACTGACAAACCATGGGGGAGTAGTCAATAATAAGAAATTACTAAATGCTTACTGAATCTAGAGCTTTAATATGTACACATCTTCCATCCCTGTCACAATGCATTCCTTGTCACTTATCAGAGAACCCCTGAATGGTTTAGGTTGGAAAGGATTTTAATGATCATTCAATTGCAAACCCCTGCCATGAGCAGGGACACCTTCCACAACCCCAGCTTGCTCGAAGCCCCATCCAACCTGGCCTTGAACACTTCCAGGGATCCAGGGGCAGCCACAGCTTCTCTGGGCAAACCTGTGCCAGGGCTTCAGCACCCTCACAAGGAAAAATTTATTCTTTAATACTTGCTGCTACTACTACCTTCCTACTTACTAACACTGGTATTGCTACAGAATAAGTAACTCATTTTTTGTGGTGTTTCCTTTAATACTCCCATTTCTCACTCTGTTAATCATCAAAACTCTTAGGCAGAAGGTTCCTACAAGTTTTCCTGCAAGAAAGTCACTGTCCCAATGTTATATTTGCATATAAATAAAAGGGAAATGTATTCATAAGAAAGAAACTTCCATGAGAGTACACACTTCTAATAATTAAGCTCCCACTCATTTAAAGACAATAAATGTGGTAGAAGTGATTTTTTAAAGGTAAATGCCTGCAACCCTGTGGTTCTTTACCTCAGCACTCTGTAGCAGTTTCCTGTACAATGTCTCCTTCTCACTGTGAGATAAGATTTTAGCCTCTTTGGTGAAACAGGATTTCATCTTGTTCAGTTCTGCTCCAAACTTACTCAGCTGTGGTGAATGGGAAATACAGAAGAGAAAGTGAATGGAAATATAATCCTTCCTGACTCTAGCTCAGCACCTAGCCTCAGTGATATCCTATGCCAAACTGATGAATTATGAAAAATACTGTGTCTCTAATCAATTTAGACTCTTTCTTTTCAAGCACTAGATCTTTATTCTTGGCATTAGAACCACAGAAAACAAAAATCCCTTGATCTGCCTTCTCAAGCCTCGTGGGATACTTCTATAAATTTTCTGGGTTTTCTATGCAGTAACTATGGGTCATTTGTTTCCCCTTTAGTATATTTCAAATGACACATTTCCTTGCATTCTCCTGGCATGCTGGAAGTTCTCAGCAGTTTTCCACTGAGAAAACTATTTTGCCTTGTTTCACCTGCTGTTGTTTTGTGACCATTCTGGTTCTTATTTGATGTGAATAAATAAATTAACCTCACTTCATTACACACAAACAATCTCTCCATGCACCATTACCTCTTCATCAGTGCAGGTTCTCATTACTTCCCACAAACTCCTGATCACGTTCACCAAGGGCTGATCCAGGACAGTCACATGTGGTTTTAACCTGGAATATGGGGGGGAAAAAAATGTTGGAAGTCTTGCTGAAATTTCACTGACCGCATAAAGCAGCACGTTGATATTTATACAATTCACTTCTAAATCTGTAATAAATGACTAACTGTATTTTTACTTTTCCTGTATGTAATGTGCTAACTTTCTTCAGGCCGTTTCCATGCACCCAAAGCTGAAAAAATGGAATTACTGATAAACTGTGTGACTGCAAAACCACTCACTCCGCTATTTTCTGAGACAGGTCCTGGCAATCCTCCTCATAAATCCTCAGCTTGGGCCGGTGCACATACTGGCTGTAGATGAGATCTTCTGCAGTGGGAGGTGCACTAACTGCACACTGAGGAAAAAACACAGGGAAAAGTAGGAAGAAAAAAAAAATTAAAAAAAACCAACGTATTTTTCAGAAATAGTAACTTCCAATCATTTCAATTCTGCTTTCATGCTTTGTGTTTCCTCACACCAGAGCACAGGCTTCTTTTTGGGACATGTGCCTCATCATTAGAGCTCAAGAAACTGAAATTAAATATTACTGAAAGAAGTCTCCCTTTTAGATGAAGACTTCAAAACATGTGTATGTTATGCAGATAACAAGAATGCTCCCCAATAAAACAATGCTTCATTCAGAGTTATGCTTAATTCAGAATCAAAGCCTTTGGGAGCCTTATGGAGCTTTATTCCTCAGATAAATATAAGGAGGGTACTTCAGCAAGCAGCCTGTATAGTAAAGCTCATAAATAACTGACATGAATTACTTGCAGTCCTTCAAAGAAAGATTTCAGGGGCTTTTGTGGAGATGGTGTCTGTTTTTTATCAGCCACTAGTCCACAGCAGCAGCATTATTAAGCCTGATGAATATTTAGAAACAACTCAGTATAAACTGTAACTAAACTGTAGCTAAACTGGGAGAACCCATTTTAAATTAAAATGGAAGGGATTTAGAAGTCTGACTTCTGTTCTGTGTTTCTTCCCTGTTTTTCAGGTGAGGAAATAGAAGAGTAGCAAGAGAAGCACTCCTAAAGGAGAGAGTAGAACAGGCAGGAGAAGCTCAGAGCAGCTGCAGGTAGTAGTGGCTGATGGACACAGTGAGAAGATAAAGAGAAAAGATCAGACTGATCTTCTAATTCTTTCAAATTTATTGTCCTTAAAACAAATTTAAAAAGCAAGAATTAGCATATTTATCCCAGAACAGTAATCCTGAATATATAGTGTTCAGTGAGGACATGGAAATCTATTCTGATTTTCATTTAAAGATGTTTGAGTTGCTAAAAATTAAGACCCAAACTAACAAAGGAGAATTATTGAAGGTAAATTATGTTGTTGCACTCACATTGGCTGGAAGCTGGCTGTGCCTGGGCTTCTGAATCACAACATGGACTTGAAGAAGAGTAAAAAACTCCCCAACTGTGATAGCACCATTCTGGAATTTCTGTACATTTGAGGAAAAACATACAAGTAAGTCCATATTTCAAGACAGAATGTTCACTGGTGTATAAACACTGTTTTTTTTTCCTGTTAGGACAGGAAGTTCTGTCTTCCAGCCCTGTCCATACCTCCCATAAATTTTCTTCACAAATGCTGTCCGTGAGAAGCTGGGACTCCACATGACTGCTGCGATGGACTGGGAAAACAAAACAGAAAGGGGGAGGAATTGGTGGGGTTAATAACATTCTTACAGGACAAAGAACACAAAGTTTGGGACTCTTATCACAAATGATCTCTTACTTGTTGATTCTATGTCAGCCTTCACAGAATCCAGGGAGCTGCTGGTGTTGGGATGAGGACACTCAGAGCTTTTAACTGAGCGACTTGGAGGTTCTCCAGCTTTATCAACTTCTGCTCGGTCCTCAGGCATAACATCAAGAGTCACCTAATATTATCAAATTTTTTGAAAATAAATTAATATAGTTATAGAAAACAACCTAACTGGATCAGTGGTTTATTGTAGCTGTTCCTTAAAAGGATTAAAGGGATACTACGCAGAGAATTGGCAAATCCCTCATTCAGCCTGTGTTGCACACACCAACCTGATTCTTCTAACTTGGCAAAACAATAAAAACCACAGGGAATGACACAGGACAATGACAGCAAGCTGGTGATTATGAAAAACAAGAAAACCATACTAACAGATCCACTTACACCCCCAAAACTTAAGCCCTGCTGGTATTCTCATATCCTTACAGTTAGGGACCAAGCTCACCTCCAAGTCTTGAGAGGCCCCAGCATCCACATGTTGATCCCTCCTGGCCTTCTTTGGGTTTTGAAGATCTTCCCCAGTTTGTCCTAAAGCTCTTTTTACGTTGCAAGTTTTTGTCTCCTCAAAAGGAGCCTTTTCAGAGTGGGGGGTTTGGTTTTTATTTTTATCATCCCAAGCATCTTCCATGAGTTCGGAGCTGACAGATTCATTGGAATCCATTTCCTCCAGGCACACAGGGAGAAATTCTTCTGCTATGAACTGAAAAGGACTGAAGTTCTGCCTGCTGGACTTGTTACCTGGGGTTTCACTGGTGTTTCCTGGAACTGAGGCTTCTACTCTGTCTGATTTTGTATTTACGTCTTGTGCACTAGAAACACGATTTCTGTTTGGTAGTTTAGGCTGGAATATACCCAGAGGGATATTTATTCCTGGATATTTATCCTTAGGCACCATTCCTATAGGATCAGCTCCAGATTCCAGACCTGTGTTTTCCTGTTTTTTGGGATCAGAGAAGTTATTAGCTTCATTGACAGTGTTTTTTCCCAACCTCAGGGTATCCTCTGGCTGAGCTGAGGAACTGGGCAACAGGTCAGAAGAAGCAGTTTTGGAAAGAGAAACAGATTTCCTTGACAAACCTATCAGTTTTGAACAAACACCTAAAATACCTGAAGATGCTGGTGGAAGAGTGGGATGTGCCTGATCCCCTGAACTGTCACAGACCAAAGGTTGCCCAGTTGGTTCAGAGTTTATTTGAAAGTCTTTTGGTGGCGCCTCCCCTTCACCTGACAGCTCCTCATTTTTCTTGGATTCCTTGTTAGCACCTGGAATGGGGTTTGCTCCAGCCAAGCCCAAATCTGAATCTCCACATCGAGATGAATCCTCTTCCACTATCTGGTTTCTCTGAGTGCTAGGGGAATCTGGATGACCCTTCCAAGGATCTGATCCCTGCATGGGAAAAGCAACACAGGATCCCGAGCTGCCACTTTCTTCCCTGTGATCCACAGGGCCCTTACTTGGGAACTCAAAGGATACTCCCTTTGACTGCAGTTTTTCTGGTGGTGTCAGATCCTGCTCCCTGCTTACAGGGACAGAATTATCTGTGGGAGGGCCGTGATCCTGTGGTGCCCCCACATCCACAGTACTTTTTTGAAGGGAGACAGAATAAACAGAATGTGGTGTTGTGCCACCGGGGAGCTGGGTAGCTCCTTTCTCACTAGGAAATGCTGTGTCTGATGAAGCAGAAGAGGGAATGCTGGCCTTATCCTTAGGTTTTGTGGCACATTGTGAGGAATCCATATCACCTCTGCAGGGCACCAACCCTCTGTGCATGTGCTGTGGTGGCTGCTGGGCATTTGTGTGGGGCACCTGCTGGGCCTCAAACCCACGGATGCTCTTACTGACAGCAACAGTGTGGGATGCAGTGATGTCCATGTCCTCCTGGTCGTGGGCAAACACGATGGTTTTGTCAGCAGGAATGGCTGGGATGGGCTGTATGTGCTGTGCTGTGTGAATTGTGGTGGTTTCCATATCCTCAGCCGGAGCAAAACTGATGGTTCTGCCACCTGCAGCCTCTCGCCCGCTCAGCTCCGCCGGCATTGTCGTTGTGGCCCCTTTTTCTAAGGACAGAGTTTCATCTCCCCCTTGACCAAAGTATCCAGGTGCTTCTTGGTTTTGTGACAAAAAAATGTTGATGTTGTAATCTGGAACCATCGTCACACACCTGCCAATCACGCCCGTGTTTTCACTGTGGGGAAACACAACAGACTTTTCTCCAGACAACTGGGAACTTCCCTTGGGTGCCTCAGATGTCCTGGCCCACACTGGTTCTTCTGCACCCCTCTGGAGCAGCCCATGAGCTGAGGGAGGAGTTTTTAAATCCTTTCTCAAAGAACCTGTTTTACCCATGGAAAAATGTCTGTCAGAGTCTCCTCGGGTTGGCAATATTTTGCTTACTGCCCTCACAGGCTGGGGTTTCTCTTGCCTCTCTGAGTTTTGGCCATCTGCATTTATTCCTGTCCCAAACTGTTCATTTCCTCTCATTCCAGGGGGAGCAGGATTGTTACTGAAAGTAAATGAACCACTTGGAGCCAAAGCAGTAACAATTTGCTTATTGGTGCTCATTTTCAAGTCCCCACATTCCTTTGTCGCAGTTTGACTCACGATACCCACATCACAACGACTGGAAAATGGGAAGGGCTGGTTCTGCAGCTGCTTGGATAGTGCAGTGTTTTGATTGTAATTACTGGATTCTTGTTCTGTGTTAATAGGAGCAATCTCAAAAGCAGCAGGATGAGCTTTGGTTATGTCCATGCTTTGATCACATAAAAACATGCCTGTTGTGTCATTTGTGGAGAAATCTGAGAGGCTTGGAAGGTTTTTTCCCAGAGATTGTGATACAACTTCTTGGCTTTGTAAAGACAGGGATGCACTGGTGTTAGTGACAACATTCTCAGGGACTCCCCTGTTTTGCTCTTGTAACAAACACATGCTCTTAGCACAGGAACTCAGACCACTTGCTTGGAAGTTGGTTTTTCCAAGCTTCTTATCAACCATTATCATCCGAATATCTTGAGCATTCCTTTCCATAGCCTGGCTCTTTTTAATATTCCCATCAATATTCCTCACTTCAACATTTTCCTTGTCCATATCTACAGAATATGCAGATATGTCACCTTCAGTGACATTTTTGTTCTGGCTCTTTCTTGGAATGATTTTACAGAGCATTTGTTTCGGTTCTGCTGCTACCCCACTGCTTTGACCATCAAAGAAAACAGTGTGGCATCTTGTTATTTCCATTTCTTCCTGCTCAGTTACATTGGAAAAAGCAGATCTGTTACCCAGGAAATGAGGTTTGCAGGTGACAGAGGTGAACACTGCACTGGGATGTTCATTACCAACACTCATTCCACCATCCTTAACACAGGTTTTAGCCAAGTTCATGTCGTCTTCTGCGAATATTACTGTCTTCTCACCTGGAAAAACGAGCTGGGTGTTTGCAGAGGGATCAAACCTGCCAGCCACCAGATGTGTGTATGAGCCAAACCCAGCGCTGGCTGCAGCAGGACCACAAGTTTGGGACACTTCTTCCACGAGTCCACCTGGGGCTGAAGGCAGGTCAAGTGCACTGATTTTAGAGGGCCCAGCAGTAGGATCATCTCCAGGTGCCAGACCCTTTGGGATGGTGCCACATGCCAGGGATCTGCTCCCTGCGAGCGGAGGGTTGGTACTCACTGGCTTTTCACAGGTTTTATGGCACAAACTGTCCTTTTCTGTGGTGCTAGCATTATAGATGATGTCTGTGTAATTCCCAGTCATCTCCATGTCATCACACTTGGAAAACACAACGGTTTTGTCCCCTCGGAAGACGGTCTCAGACAAAACGGATCCCTGGATGGCAGACAATGTCCCGGCCTCCTGTTTCCCAGCTCGCTGCTCTCCTCTGCCTTCAGCATTTGCTGTTTTTCTGTCTGCACAAAGCTGAGGGTCCTGCTGAACACTTAAGTCGTGATTAGATGCTCTCATGAACACAGAACTATCTGACTCTGTGGGTGGGAAATCCTTTTGGAAGTTGAGACTTTGGTTCCCGACAGTGGAGAGGGCAAAGGACACTTTTGCGGTGTGACTGGTTGTCACGTCCATGCCCTCGTCTGCAAATGCCTCGGTAACATCCGCACACTCCCACCGCTCTGGTGGAACCTCACTGACGCCAGGGAATGGAATTTTAACATCAGCTGCCTCACATTTTGTCATCTCCATCCCACCTTCTCGGCCTCGAAACACTTTTGTCACATTGCAGGCGTCCAGCAGCTCATGGGAATAGCCAAATTCCCCGGAAGGTTGTGTCACATCTCCCGAGCCTTGGGAAGGGACACAGCAAACACTGTCCTTGTCAGGTCTCTCAGCAGGATTGTTTGACTTCAGCCTCAGCAGAAATTCATTGAAATCTATTTTTTTCACAGTAGTGGCTTCCTCTTTCTGTTCCAAAGAGGGGCCTGGATGGTTTGTGGGGTCAGAGAGCAATCTCAATTCCTTGCTGGTTTCTACCTTCCCCTGGCTGGAGTTTAACTTAGCCAGGAAGGAGGTGAAGTCTATTTTCTCGGTTCTGTCAGGCTGCTGGGCTCTGAGGTTCCGTGAGATAATGGCTGTGTGACTGGCTGTCATCTCCATCTCATTCTCCTCTGAGAAGAGGAGGGTGGTGTCCTGCCTGTCCATCCTTGGAGCGGTGTGGTCCACATCATGCCACTGAAAAACAGGAAAAAAAAAAAAGGAAAATTCAATGACTGGCACTTAAAACAAATGGTCAATGGTTTATTCTGCTTAAAACAGAAGTCAGGTAATGTTGACTAATGTAAAGTCCTAAGGTTTTAGCTCTGTAAGTGGGTTTTTTTTAACCCAACCTGTTAATTTCAGGCCACCCTGATAAGCAGTGACATATTTGAGGAAAGGACAATGACTAAATGATGCAAATACACCATATTTAAATGGGGTTTAATGAAACAATGTGTGTCATCTTACACTTCATATCTAGCCACATCTTAGCAAGCACAGATCAATTACTGAGGCTTATGGATCAATATTTTCTATTTCTCTATAACATGATTTCCACCAGTTTATTGTCCACCTGCTCCAAAGCAGCAGCTGGATATTTCAAAGAACTTTTTCACCACTGATAAGGGAGATTTTAATCTCTTTAGCAGAAAACACAGTTTTATAGCTGTGGGGGGAAAATTGTAATTAGATATATTATATTTTATCAAGTATAATGAATATATTTGTTACCAGATGATAAATTCTCTACATCTGGTGAGTCCTGGCCTATGGAACTGCTCAATGCCCATTTTGTGTAAGGAGAACTGGAAAACTTATAAAAGTTTGCAATCAGTGGTGGCCACTTTACATGCTGGAAGATCAAGAGAAGTGGCCTAAGGATGGAACCTTGCAGTATAATACACATTGCAATTAACGTTGTTTTGTAGAAGGAAAATAAGTGGGATGAAATTCCTTGTACACTGGAAAAGGAAAAGAAAGGCAAAGGGTTGAAAGAGGTGTTGTTTTGTGTGCAGCATGGGACAGAGGTGCTTAAAGTGCAGGTGAGAAGAGGAGGATGATTTAGAGCTGATGGTTGCTCTGTGGCAAAGAATAAAGGGGGTGAATCATGACTCACCAGGGAATATGGTTAGACACATAAGGGAGTCTTGGAAAAGTGGACTGGAACAGAAAGAACATTTTAGGGGATAGGAGGATTTTGATCTGATTGTGGAACGCACTAGAAGGCAGCAAGGAGTGGGAGATGCCAGGGAAGTTCTGATGGCTCCCCTCCAGCAGGTAGCAGGGAATTATGGTCCAGTAACCTTGTTTTTAATAGTGGATTTAATGTCATGGAGAAAGGTGGCAGGAGTTTAAAGGGAAAATCTGGACAGAGTTGCTAAAGTGTTTGAAACCCTAATTAGGACTCAGGACGCCCCTCACTCAGAAACAATTGGCTGATCATTGTAACAGTTTGTGACTAAAGTATACTTTAGTAATTTGTATTAATTAGTGGCTAAAGTATATCTGGCAATTTGTATTGTGATAATTAGTGTCTGAAATGTATTTGGCACTTTGTAAAGAAAGGGGACATTGGAAAAAGGAGTATCCCCAAGCCAGGCAAATCAAACAAAGAACCTAAACCAGGCTCTTCAAGCTACCAAGCCCAAGACCTTAAGTGAAAATGAAAAACCCCTCTAAAGGAATCAGGGGAATCATCCTCAGCTGAGCCCTGTTACGTTATTGCAGGGAATAAAAAGGTAAACTTTTTAATTGATACAGAAATAACTTATTCAGTAGTGAGTAAGTGCAGAGGAAAACTTAGCTCAGAACCTGAAAGTGCCATGGGTGCAACAGGGAGGAAAGAGAACAGGCTTTTTTTCACAACAACTACTTAAATTAATAAAACAGTGGGGGAAACTCCAATTTGTATACTCCTGAATGCTCAATCCCCTTGTCAGGAAGAGATTCACTGGGAAAATGGTATGTTCATATAACTTTCTAGGATGGGGAAATACAAATTGAAACACCAGAATCAAAAGCCACCCAGGCAAAGATTTTTATGTTACAGGAATCAGAAGAGCTGAACAAAATCCCAGAGGAGGCAGAAAATGCTGTAACCCTTTTGGTATGGGCAACTGTGATGTCTGGATGATCAAAGGTGGCCAAATTGGTGAGGATTACTCTCAAACCTGAAGCCAGACTGGTAAAGCAAACCCAATTATCCTAGTAAGTCTGAGGCAAGGAGAAGTTGGAGAGACTTAATTCCTGATATTCATTGAGTGGTAACTCATCTGTACACAGTCTTGACAGCACACAAAATTGGAAAGTATTCTGCCAGCAACCAAGACTGAAAGTAAGTGACTCAATGCTACTGTATGTCTGCTACATTTCTTAGAACAACCTGGATACGGGGTGTCAAAGAAAATGACACAAATTAGCAAAGAAGCAGTAATATATTTTAGTTTTGAGATCTTGCAGGAAAAATAGAAGCTTGGGAAGCAGCTGAAAAGAAGCCATTTGCCAGACTCCAGAGCCAAGGACTATGAGCTTTCCTAGGTAAAGCCAGATGGTGCCAGTTACGGATTTCTGTTTTGGGGTACTGGCAAAACCCTTGCATTGTCCTCCACTAAAAACACTTAGTTTGGACTTCTGAGAGTCAATAGTGCCTGAAAAGCCCTGAAAGAACCTTAATGCCAATCCCTGCACTGGGAGTCTCACACTTGAACCAAACCATTTGAGTTATCTGTGCAGGGAAGGATGCACCTGGCACACCACAGCTACAGAAAATCCCAGCAAGTGATTAGTAAACTCATATAGGTGAGTAATTGTAGTTCCAAATTAATGTATAAGGTAAGAGAACTAAAACCATCAAGAAACACTTCAGGAAACATTGTAACTAATTCATAAAGGAGTATAGTAAGCACAAAGATGACAGAAATTAAGATCGGTTACTGACAAATAAGTAATTTATCTTGCAAAATCATCTCAAGGAAGGAAGGCCACCTCCAAGGCTAGCAAAACAGAGGAATTCACCAGGTAATTATTGGCAAACTGAATTTGCAGAACTGCCCTGGCAGAATGAGGGGCTGGTACATTTTAGTATTTTAGTACTTTCTTTAGATGGCCAGAAACTTTCTCATGCCCCACCAACAAGGCAAGGGAAGTCTCAAATTCTTACTGAAATTAATATGATACCATTAAAATTAACTTTTGTAAGCTTTAAAAGGTACATTGTTACCAAATCACTGGGACCAGACTCGCCTGTACATCCTTTCCAACCAGAAGATCCGGTGCTCAAGAGAGCCTGCAGTTTTGGGCCAACCCAGGAGAAGTGGAATGGACCATATCAAGTCCCCCTGGTGACCTACACTGCATTCAGAGTGGAAGGAATTGGACCCTGAGTTTATCACATGGGGGTAAAACAAGCAACCACACCTTAAACACGGCACAGACAAGACTGACTCACACCATGGAGCTTTTATGTATATATATGCAAATCCTATTATTTTAAGATAGGATATGGTTTCCTAAGGAAATATTATTTATTAGATCTAGATGAAAATTATAAATAATTACATATTTATAGTAATAATAATAATAGAACTATATTCTTAATTTCTGGGAAGGAAAATGTAGTCTTAAAATTAGTGCAAGATTTTGGCAAATTACAGAATGTAACTTCTGTAACATGTGGGACCTTACAAAACAGATTAACTTTAGACCTATTACTGTTACACAAACAAGGAATATGTGGTTACTTGAATTTAAACAACAATATTTGCTGTGTGCACATTCCAAATGTGACAGTTAAATCAGATGATAAAAATAAGATAAGGACTGGTTGCTGCATCTAGCAGAGAATTAATGGCAGAATAAGAAAGTAAATAGTTAAACAAAGTATTTAAAGAACTTGCATTTTATCTGACTGGTTAGTTTGCCTTACTTTTGCAAAATATAATTGTGACCGTATGAATAATTATGACTATTATACTTGCCTTAAAAACTTGTATTACTAAAAAAAGTAAGTGAGGCTCATGAAAGCTTGCAAAGAAGATAAGAATGGAAGAACTAGTTCATTACTGAGAAGTTATAAAGGAATTTCAGAAGCAAGAGTTATTTATGTTGCAGTCTAATGCCTATCAGATTAGGAAACACTTATAGACACACAAAATATAGAATATAGAATATTCACTTTCAAGAGAATTTTATATGAACACAAAGGCTTAATTTTTAGGCAGTTAACATTTTTGATCTTAACTACACAAATTCTTGTGAGGTATTTTGGACATTGGTATTTTCAGCACCAAAAAATCAAAGCCTTCACATACCTCAGTTGGCTGCCCCAAGACCTGGATGGGGGCATGAAGCAAAGTGTTCATCCCTGTGGAAAGAAAGGGAACACTCCAGGTTTTGTACTGTTTGCTTATTTTGTCCACTTCATCCACTGAGCTGAAGCTCAGTGTGCTGAGTAAACAAATACAATTAAACCCAAATATATTCTGAAAAATATTTTCATTATTCCCTTCAGCACCTTGAAGGGCCACCCAGACTTGCACAACAGAATCCTTGTAAACAACTTCAAGGGGCAAAGCCCATCCAGAGAGAGCTCTCCCAAGGCAGGGAGACTGCTCCAGGCACATTAAATTTTCTCAAACATAATCAGTAGCTTTAAATAAACAGAGTCATATAATTATTAAATCTGTTTTCAAACTCACCAGTGATCTCACAAGAAACAGACCCCAGGTCTTCATTCCTACAAAAGGTGGGTCAGAGAAACAATTTGTTAAAAGATTTTAAAGAGAAACCTTGCTCAATAAACTGAAGAGGCAGAAAATTGTGTTGCACAGAATTCCGTGGCAGACCTCACATGGGTCTGGGCAGCAGATACCAGACACTGCTTATTTGTCTTCAATATATTCTAATTTGAGTTACAATCTTATTTTTCCCATGAAATTATCTATTATACCACAAACCACTGTTCAACATACAGTGACATTTTAATTTTTAAGTGAGAAGAAAAGATTAACTCTTTTTTTCATAAAATCTGTGGTTCTATGAAATTCTCCTTCTCACATACAAAGTGCCTTGTCTGTTATTTTACCTCCAAGTCATTTTAATTTTACAGATCCCACCACTGTGTTTTATCTATAAGAACTCTGAGGCCAGACTAACACTTTATCTTTTTCTGAGGAAAAGGTTTGGTAATAATAAACACTGAATAATAACAAATATCTGTCAGGCATGATACTTACTGATTGGTCAAGGTATCATCCTTCTCATCTGCTGAATGCCCTAAAATTAAGAAAATGACCACATTACAATATGAGAAGCATGATCACATTTGTACTTGATTATCCTAAAAGTTTTGCCCAACCCACGTGATTCTGACTCAATAAAACATTGAGACAAGAGTAAAGTGCATGGAAAACAATGTTCTGAAGTTCTCACTCTTGATGTGTCTTCTTGTGGCAAGAACACTGTGACTGAGGAGTTTTCAGCCAGGCCAGGATAAAGAGCTGACCATGTTGTTCCTTCCCCAAATGGAAAAGTTCTGATTTCTTAAAATCAAGCTAAAGTCTTGATGCTAATAGTCTGGGAAGCCTGTCAGGAAAAGAAAAAGGAGTTTTACCTGTATTTTCTGTTTCTGATGCGCTGTTCTTAAGATCTTGCTGGAAGACTCTGCAGCTAAGAACAAAACCACCAGTTTTTAAAAACAAAACCATCTCTAAAACCAAATTCAAAGGAAAAAAAAAAAACAAAAAAAACAAACAAGCAGCACTAATTTAAATCTTTTCTAAATGTTCTGAAACGAGATACCAAAAGCCAGAAGTGTACTGAACCCAGCTGTATTTTTCAGGGAGAAGATGCCATGATGACATTTGAGATGTCTGAATGGAAACTGAACGTAAAACAAAAATTCCCAACTATATTAATTTCACTGAACTGGGCTTTTTTTCAGCTGTGAAGTAAAAATGAATAATGGCTCTCAGGGTTCCCAACTCGATATAAGACTCTTCCTGCTGCTTGCAGTCATTTGTGATTACTCAGTGAGGACACTTTTAGGGGGAAGGATTATTCCCTGCATTCTATGGCTGAGGAAGGGACGTAGGTGTGCACCCTTCAGCTCCCTCACTTGATGGTGTTGGCGAAGCTGACCCTGCGCGAGCTCCTCCTGCGCCTCTCTACGTGGATGTCCTGCCAATAAAAAACACAACGAGGTTGCTTCCCATGCCAGGCACAGCTCCCCAAGAAACACAAAACCAAACTAAACTAATTATTAATAATAAATAATTATTATAATTAATTATAAATAATAAAGAATAAGTATTAATATTATTATCAGAAACGGTGCACTACAACCACCCGCGTTATCCCAGTGGCACGGTTTAATCAGCAAAACGCCGAGGAGGATCGGTAGGAAAGGGCCTGATAGACCTACCTGGGTCATTTCGTTCCCATTTCCCAGATCATCCAGAGGATTTCGTGGAGCCTTTAAAATCTGAAAGAAAATACAATAGCTGCAACTCCAAGAGCTGGTTTCTTAGCTGAAGAGAGTTTCTAAGAACCAGCAGTGCCTCAGTCAATCCTCTCAGTGCAACAGGCTCTTTTGAAATGCTTTTCTTCAACTCCCAAGAGCAAGCAAGTTCCTCTTCCAGGAACTTTCAGGGCTCCTTTCCCCCCCTCACACAGTTTTATTTCAAGGAATGCTGTAAGTTACTCACGGAGGACAGTCGCTTCCTCCTGATGTGCTCCGTGTTATCACTGCAGGGGGAAAAGGGAAACAGGTATTGATGCCTAAAGTTTTTAGCTTTTATGTATTCTTCATATATTTGTAGCTCTGTAGGCTGTTAAATGCTTCAGTGTAACTTCCACTACTTTCCCACCTTTCTTTCCAACAGTGAACAGGCACTTATTGACACATTCCTAATATTTTGTTATGTCTTGCCTGTTACTTCTCCAAGGACATTTTATTTTGCACCATATAATCATAGGCACAATAGAATGGGTAGGAGGGCAGAACCCAGGGGGCAGATTACCTAACCAACTGTTCCTCTCATTGGCCAGATACTCTAATTGCCCAATCCTATCAATTGTAAGGCTCTAATTTGGGGCACTGTTTTTCACCATGTTATGTACCTGAAATCTTCCAAGTAAAGGTTTGCTTTTACATTATCATTATATAGCCTGAAAAAGTTGGTGTTCTATTTCCAGGCATCAGTATGAAGGTACAAAAGTGCACCAAGGAACATTTCCTGAATGGTCCTGCCAAGGGTTTGAGGTTAATAAATGGATTTCTCTGTTATTTTTACAAGTGTGAAATTAAATAAACAACATGCTTGGAACAGATTGATCATTTCAGCACTGGTTCCCAGAATAAGTTTTGGAAAACTCAGCAGATTGCCCCCCCCACAGTCCCATGGTCAGTTCATCTCCTGACAATCCATCACTATGAAATCCCCTCACCAGACACCAAAGAAACTCCCTGGTCTTCTTCACAATGGAAAACACATTTAATTCAAGGGATGTTGAAGCGAATTACAAGTTTTGCTTCTAAAGGGCAATATTTGTACCACAGAAAAATTCTTAGAGGATTTCAACTCACTTTTCCACAGCAGGGTCTGTGTAAATCTTGTCCATTGCTGACGGATGTGCTTTTCCTATAAAAAAACCCTTCCTATTAAAAAAATTTTCCTATAAAATTCAGCACCAAAATTCAAAACCATTGATGAGCCTCAGTAGGAAAACTACATAAACCTGCAACTGGCTATTTGCTTTTGATGCTGTTTTTTTCCCTCTCCATCCTTCTCTAGTCACAGAAATGCTCTGAAGTACAACAGGCCTCTCAAGCCAATGTCCTCCTGTTACATTCACATCATGAATATATCATGATATTGTATATCATACTAGAAAACAGCTGTGCTAACAATTTAAGTATTACTGGTTAACTGACCTTTTATTTAAAATTAAGATTCTAGTAAATACTGGGAAATAAACGAGATCAAGCCTTATCCAAGACAATGTTTGTACTGACACGTACCAGCCATTTTCCCTCTCACTCTAAACTGAATTTCTGGTATTTCAGCTTGTGCCTGTTGCTTCTTGCTCCTTCTCTAGATACAACCAGGAGAGCATGGCTCAATTTTCCTAAAACACTCCTGAAAGGAATAAGAGGAATGAGTTTTTACAATCTGGCCTGAGCCAGAGACCGATAGGTGAGTTAAGCAAAAGGGGGATGTTACTTATGGACATCAACTGTTGCTTATCCAAGGCCCTGCTAAATTCCTGGACTTGGAGAAAAAGAACAAAGATAAAAAGAGGGGACAGGGGTGTGCACATTAGAAGAGGGTCTGTATTACTCAATTCGGGAAGTGTGTATCTCTCAAGTACCTCAGCCAATGGGGAAATGTAAATTAGGATAAAAAGGAGGCTGCATCCCCCAGAAATCTGAGGGACTCCATGGAAAATGCCCCGAGGCCTCGCCCATTATTCACGAATAAAGCTACAAGACTCCTCTGTCTCCTTTTTGGACATAAACCTCTGGCATCATGAATTTATTTGCCAAATACAGGGAACAATTTTTTCCCAGTATCCCATCTAAACCCACTCTCGGCCAGACTGAACACACAAAGGGAGGGACAGGGAAGATGGCTGTGGGAGATAAACCTGGAGCTCTAACAGCCTCGATCACTCTGCTATCGGGGATATTAATCTGAAATTCACTTCCCTACCACCTTCCTTGACCGTTCTTCCTTAATCCTGCTTCAAAATCCTCCACAATCCTTAAGGGACGAGGGGTGAGCTGAGTCGCTGTGCTGATGAAACCCACCCCCCCCCTTTTTATTCCCCCGTTTGACTCTGGGAACACGGGAATCACTCCATAAGGCTTCAGCCCATCCCTGCCCCTCCTCGGCCTTTTCCCCGTTAGGATGAGCCCACAAAGTCCCTTTTTCCGCCTCTTTTTGTCCCCGCGCCCTCGCTTTACCGCCCACACAGCCCAGGCGCCAACCACTTATCGACCACAAACCCCGCATTAATCACTCTTTCATTAATTACACCACATGAACACGTTCCCCAGACACTAATTACTTCGGATCGATCCGCACCCCCCTTATCGGAGGGGGGGTTCCCCACACGCTCCGCTCCCACCGCAGGTGTCACCTGCCTCAGCCCTCCTTCCATCCAGCCGATCCCGAGGCCGCTCCCGGGGCAGCGCCGACCTTCTCCCCCCGCCTTCTCCC